TTGCATGCTGGCTGGTGAGTGTGCTGGGAAACTTTTGGCTGTTGTACTGTTTAAAGCCCTTCCATGTGCACCTTGCTTTGGAGCTGGTTATGAGTTGTTGAGTGCGTTTCCCATTTATTTTGCTTGTTTATGAATAGATCCCTATTTGTATTGGGAACAAGTAATAAACATGGAATGAAGTCTGGTAGGGCTAGTCCCACTAGATTCAGTGGGTTTTGTAAAATGTAACTGCTTATAACCCTACTCCAGGCAAAACATGTTGGTTAGTTTGGATTGAGCGGAGAAAGGTTAGATGCACTGTCAGGTTTTTAGGGCTTTCTCCTAAGGTAAAGAAATGATAGGAAACATCTCCAATGGACACATACTGTAGATAAATAAAACATTTTAGTATGGTGAGTATTCTAGTATTGGCGCCCGGGGCAGAATTTTTTTCCACCCCTCCCCCCCCCATATTATATAAACATCCACTGGAACTGTACCCCACACATATATCAGCTAAGGAACTACAAGTCCAAGCATGCCATCATTGTCCCTGCACCCCCCCCCCCCCACACTCACACACATATCACCCAGGTAACGGCAATATCTGGTTGTTGTACAGGGGCAATGAGGACATGCTGGGACTTGTAGTTCCCTAGCTGATATGTTATGAAGCTGTATTCCACCTGAAAGTACTACAATGCCATTATAGAACTAAGAATAGAACATAAAATAAACTTGTTCTGCGGCCAGGGCCTTCGTTTAGCGGGGGTCGGTGATGGCGCCCACCCTCAGTCCTGCGCCCGGGGCTAGCGCACCCCCCCGGTTGTTACGCCACTGAGTACCAGTACTAACTGGTCAGGTATCTAGAATACCAAGTTAGCACCGTAAGAAATGGGGTTAGATATGCAGTTAGTAATATAATGCTTGGACAAGTACAAAAGTTTCATCCAGGAATTAAACCCGGGTCATACTCAATTGCGCTGAAGACTAGCCAAAGGCACCATCACTTGATAGTATCAAAGGCTTCCCATGTCTGAAGGTACCAATATCCTAATTCCAACACCATCATACATGATGTCTAACTTCACATACAAGCATTTTATATTTATAGCAGTAATACTCAATGTGGAGATAACCCCTTCATGGCATGTGCCATGTAGTGTTCTAATCAATCATATTCATTCCAAATACAGGGCCATGTATGGCTGCCTTTATTTATGTTACTGCACTTTGTTATTTTAGCAGGCAAATGGCTTTCACTGTATTCATTTTTCTTCTTTTTTTTTCACGTGCAGGGTTTGCCTGCAAACACCCCAGTTAATTGCTTCTTTTAACTTTTATCACATTGAAAGCTTTTCTCCTGTACAGCCAGTGTCATGAACTGAAATGCAGAAGAGGTCAGGTGCCAAGTGAACAGTCTGATGCTTCATGTGATTACCAGGCTTTGTTTATTACTTATGTAAATACCAGCAATCTGCCTCCTGGCACAGGGTATCCTCCCACCTCATTGCCAGTCTGTGCACCTTTTAACAGTTTATTGCTCTCAGCTTTGTTAAAACCAGATATTTCTAGTGGGTTATTGAATAGGAAGCAGTAACATTCATCAGTAGTACTTCAGTTCCCAGTACAGTGATTTTTGGCTATTGCTCCAGGGCTTAGTATGTTTTAGAGCAGCTAAATGTACAAGAGGAAGAGACAGCTCAGACTTTAGTTGGATTAATGCTCGTGCTGCGATAACAAGCTGCTTTGGTAAAAATGGTACTTGCAGTTTTTTGGTGCATTAACATGCAAGGGTTAACGCACCGCACAGATGTAAATGGGCCTTTAGTCAAAGCCATTTTTTTTGCTCTAAAAATATGTATTGATTAAAAAAAAAAAAATTTGTAAGGACAATATTTACTGTTCTTGTTCTGCTGCATTGAACCTGCTGTCAACTGAGATGCATTGTGTAGTAAGCATTTTAATATTTTAACAGTCGCAGGTGGTATGGAACAAAGGGTTAATTATCTTCCTTATATATTCTATCACCAAACCCCCATCCACCAACTGATATAACCTGGAATTCTTCAGTAATCGCTCTTTACTACTTTTAAAACAGTAAATAAAGAATACCTGTTTTTCTTGGTGTTTTTATTTTAAGCCGAGTTTAATACTGCTTCCAGACAAATATTTGGGCCCCTCACCAGGGTTGTGCAGCTCTCTCCTGTTTCTAGTCCAGTGATTGGTTCACTGCATTTGCATGATTACTTTTTTTGCCAGTTGATGGCTGGTCTAAGGTTGCAGGTTAGGTTAGGTTTAAAGTGTATGTATAGCCCCCTGAGACAGTTGTCACCAGGATAGGTGCCCCCATTGGAAGACTTATCCTGACCTCTTGTTCTGATGACAACTCTAAAATGTTGGATTTGCTATCACTTTCCTTTTTTGTGACTGTG